CCATCAAGAATAATCTGTGACACCGCAAATATTTTGTATGTGGCTGGTAGTTTAATATAAATAATATGTAAATAAACCCATAAAACACAAATGGATTTTCAAACCACACAAAATTAATAACCAATAAAATATGTATCTAAAAGTATTTTTTAATATTTTCAATTTGTTCAATGTGGCAACTCTGATAAATCTTCTAATGAGAATAGCATAAATGACGTAAAACAGAACATATAGATATAAACATGTTTGGAGGCGTGTACCCGGCGCCTTCACAGACGCGAATGGCTTACTTTTCATTCGATATAAAAATCAAGTGGTCTTCGCTTTAGTTATCTTTCGTGTAGTCTCGTTATGTATCATTGAATTGCAGTGCTTGGCTGTGTATCGTTTGCAAAAAATGTGACAAAAAAGCCGGTTCTTTTCACAGTCAACCTTGACCATGTTTCAAAAAGCGAGAGTATGTATACACATATGAGTACGTACACATGTATAATTTAGAAAGGAAGTTGCATGCATTTTTCAGTGGATCCCATTGAAGAATGTCGTAAAATGTTGATTTTTTCTTAATTTGATTTAGGTATATATTTCGATACATGAAGAGGACTCTCAAAAAATGACAGTTGTGTTTACAGGTTACCCTCTTTTTGAGTAGTATTTATATGCTCGACGCATATCTATGATACAGAAGCATGGCATAACTATGCAAGGTATTCTCATTTGAGAAATCGATAATGGCAACCCTTCTTAATATGGAATTCATCAAGGTGTATTTAATAAGGTGTATGCATCAGATACAACAACAAATATTTTACAAAAACAACATTGTTGTTATAGAAATTAAACTGTCATGCCGACAATAAGTTTTTGACAAAAATAAACAAAAACAATTATTAATTTATTTTTGTCAAGAACTATTCTTTGAGGAATGAAAAAAAGCCTAAATTTAAAGACCATTTTTGAAATCGAAATGTAATATTGAAAATGTTTTTGACAATTTACATTACAAACAATAAAGAAAAAGTTTGAAGTTTATAATTGTCACTTACACCTTATTAAATACACCTTGGAATTCATATATCAATTTCAGATAAAATTAAAAATAAATTCCATAAAATGTTACACATGGCGATTGACAAATTAAAGAAAACTATTTTTCTAAAGCTCCACATAATTTTCAAGATTTCCGTTTGCAATACCTCGAAATATTCACCGCATATCCCATAAAGAATATATTCACGATCGGAATAAAATTCGATTAGTAACAAATCTCCATACCAAAAATTATCGGAGTTCTCATTGTGTGTCAGATCTTCCTATCCGCCAGTTTCGCCCCTCATCAAGGGGGAGAGTGTGCCTTTTGCGTGCTCTCCAATTGGTACAGCATTTCGGTGCAGGTGCGCTGGTGGGCGTTATTCCGCCTGTGGCTCAGCCACTGTGAGGTAGGCCAAATGTCAGGGACTCACACAAATTTCTCCAGATACCCGCCAGTATTGAAGATTGCAGTTAAGTTCGTCTCGGCCGAACATAACAACGTTTTTATTAGTTGGTTCTTAGTTAATTAATATTTGTGAATAAAACACATACGCTTGTTTTTTTATTTTATTAGAATAATGAAACACCAGTCTAGCGCATCATATGTACATATATATGTCACATGAGTAATAACATGATAATATAATAAAAAAAAGTAGATTAAAAAAATAATCTACAAAGATGATATAAAATTGTGGGCGTTTAAACAGACAAAATAAAAGTAGCAGCAATAGCTTTTGTGGAAGATTGGAAGATAGCCTGCAATTTATCACAATTTAACATGCAATTTGGAAAAGTGACGTGCGGGGCCATTAAATGGTTACGATTTTTACCTAACCCCATTTATAATCACATAAATATAAGTTGTGTCCCCATGCAATAAAAAAAAAAACGACAACAAATTCAATATATTTTAAATACTCAATGTTAGATATCTCACTTCCAGAGGTTTACTCCGCCGATAATAAATTTATGGTCCAAAGGGTAAACTGAAAATATTTAAAATAAAAATAAATATTTGCCAAATATAAGAAACCATTAGATTGAAAATTTCGCACCGACAAATTATTATATTTCCTTTTTAATACACATGTATATTCTTGGAGAATATTAGGGGTTACGAATGTATGCTTAATTTATGACGTGAACTAATTAAGATGTCAGTGTTAAATGTACAATTTTATTATTTAGTTGTTAAAATACATAATTATACATGCTATTCGTTACTCACTTAGCTTCCTATCAGCTTGGCACATTGACACATGACGTGATAACCAGTTGTGTTTACACATACAGTTTTCGGATATGTGTACCAAAATTGCTACAAATTAACAGGTGATATACAATTAAGGGGGGAGGTGGGCTATTTCATGTCAAACCGCATCAGAAAAACTATTCATGAAACATTCAGCACTAGAACTAATTAAATAACTGTTAAAAGTGAAATAAAAACTGAATTAGATATTTAATGAAATTGGTGTTTTCAACCATAATATTTTGGAGTTGTATCATCTTCGTGGTTGTATTTGTGTCCCCTTGGCGGGTAATTAAAAAAAAATGAGGGAAAAAGTTTATCATAAAGTGTTTTTTAGTGATTAGCCCATGCACTTCCTGTTCAACTATTGCATATTTATTATCAGACACAATTCTCGTCATGTAAGTGTCTCAAGAATAAGCATTTATTCGTAGAAATCTTTACAAGTGCCCACTTTATACAAAAATACGTGCAATTGTGAATAATTCTGAGATTAGATATGAATGGGCGTCAGTTTTATCAGGAACCTGACGTTGGTTACAGATGCAGAGGACTGAACAAACTGATGTTTAATTGCATATAAATCTTGCCACGTGGTTAAATAACATTGTTCAGTAGTGCTAATCTGAACCCGTATAAAATCCATAAGTTTAAATTTGCGTAAATATTCTATAAATAATGAAATTTAGATAGTGAATAAACTATTGAATGGAAAATGATATTTTTATATTTTTGTTATACAGGTATAATTAATGACAATAACTTTAGTTAAAAAATAAATCAAATAGAAACAATTCAAAATATTTGTTAACAATATACTTCAAAATGGGCGATTATTAATAATTGTTGTTAGGGAAATGAAAACCCAAGGAAATCTAAAAATGAAACGTATGAGAAATACATGTGTCAACTCCATATACTACTGATATTTAGGAGGTACCATTATATGGAGGCTGCAGTAAAAATTGGACCAATACTGACAATAGTTTATAGGAAGATTTTTATTTTCGGTAGTATGAGATATCATATATGATATCTCCTACTACCGAAAAATTTGCCACTATGCCCACTAATGCTGAAATTACATTCATTTTAGTACATGAAGAACAATAAATAACTAATTTTGTGCAATCTAACCTAGCTAGCAAAAATAATGTATGATTTATCTGTAATTGTTTCTGACAAATATCGATTTCTTTTCTAGACATTTTCAAAAAATAAGTATTTTTCAAAGTAAGAAAAATTATTCGTTTTATGTAGATTGTCATGTCCAAATTATACAATAATTTTTTTGGTCCCAATTTTTGGGGTTCTCCAGCTTAAATAAAATAAAATTTAAAGATTTATATAATAAATACCATTTTTGGGGAAGGTACCAGAAGGAGTCGATCAATGGGTCCCTTCTTCTGACTTCATCTGGCTTGGCAAAGTTTGGTTCAAATCGGACATTTCGTTCACCTTATATTAGAGTTATAAATATTGAAAATGTGGGGAAGGTACAAGAAGGAGGGGTCCGATCTTCGGAATTTATCTACGCCTGGTAAAGGTAATAGGTTGTACAAAGTTTGGTTAAAATCGGACATTCCATTCGTTTGATATTGCATTTAAAAAATATTGAAAACTTCGACCCTTTGTGGGGGAGGTACCAGAAGTAGTGGCCCAATGGGTCTCATCTTTGGACTTTATCCAGGCATGGTAAAATTAATGGGTTGTACAAAGATTGGTTCAAATCGGACATTCCATTCGTCTGATATTGGATTTATAAATATTGAAAATGTTGACCCTTTGTAGGCCCGATCTTTGACTTAATCTACGCTTGTTAAAGGTATTAGGTTGTACAAAGACATAGAATTTTATAAGAATTAAAATGATTATTTAGATTGCCATTTCAGCTAGTGGATTTATGAATAATTTTAAGCCCGCAACTAATTCGACACAGATCAATCATGAGAATAATGCAAATCACTTTCTTATATAATCTAAATAAAAAATTATAACGCAACCTGCAAGCTGCGACTTAAAATAATGGTTCTATTTTTTAACAACAACGATAATATAACACGTTGTTTTTGTTTAAGAAATTCTAACGCCTGCACTGTGTTTGGATTGGGTTGGAGAGGAGGCATATTTGAAGTAGTACCGATTAGTTTATAACTGTTATAAAAGTGACGTATGTATGATGAGAACGAACGTGTAATTAAATTTACGATGACAATGACAGCAATTAAGTGACGTTGCATTGTTTGTTTTGATTAAATCATCGACACGACACGGCATTAAACTAAACATTTACAAATGACAGAGAGAATCAGTAAACACTGAGTTGTTAGAGATCATGTTTGACACATGTTTCGAGTGGGCTTCCACCAATAATAGTTTGTAAATAGGGCGGTTATTCATTGTTTAGGAGAGGTATGTCTTTTGTGGAACGCCACAGACTTAAAATATTTCATATTTTTAACAACAGAACTCGAGAGAAAAGTAAATGTGTTGGCAAAGAAATGGAAGGCATGCAAAGTTTTTTTTGAATAGTTGTAAGGTTTCTTAAGCGTTTGTATATTTACTGTAGACGGAGTTGAATGGATGAAATGATTTCATTTGACCGCAGTTGTTAGAACATAAAACGTAGTATTTATATTTTCTGTGTGTGTATTTTTTTGCAGCCACATATATTTTATACAGCAACATTACCCGCAATTAGAACGAAACAAAGATGACTCAGAGTGTGGACACATCGTTTATACCAGACCTCCCCAAAGGACCTTTGTGCGTGTATCGAAAAAGGGTAAACTTTGATTGGAAACGTCTGCGACTTATATTTGAGAAGGAAGAAGTGTTACGTCTCAAGGTAAACTTTTCCAAATTTTACATACATATTTCGATTGTCACATTTAACTATTTCTTCGACTATACTTTTTCAGTACAAAGTGTGGAAAATTCTCGAGAATGACCCTCTCTTTTCACAGCCAATATCTACACTACCTACCGATCAACAGAAACGTATTTGTGCCATGCAAATGAATCGCATGAAACAACTAGATTTAGTTCCTCAGGAGATCGAACAGCGTTCGTTCAGCGAAAAAACCAAATATTTAATGGGCATCAATGAGGCCCTACATGCCTACTGTCCCAGTTTATCGGTGAAGATTGCCTTGGGAGTGGGTCTGTTCAATAATGCCATTCGAGCCATGGGCACTGAAAGGCATATGAAATACTATGAGGCTGCTTGGAATCGTGAAATTGTCACATGCCTAGCCATTACTGAGCTATCGCATGGCAGCAACACCAAATGCATCCGCACAACGGCAACCTATGATCCAACCACACAAGAATTTATCATAAATACGCCCGATTTTGAAGCTGCCAAATGTTGGGTTGGTAATTTGGGTAAAACGGCCACTGTAGCCATGACATTTGCTAACCTCTATACACCAGACGGTGTAAATCAGGGTTTGCATGGTTTTATAATACCCATTAGAGACCCGAAGACACTTCAAGCTTATCCTGGTGTATTAGTCGGAGATATTGGCGAGAAGATTGGTTTAAATGGCATAGACAATGGCTTTGTTATGTTTTCCAATTACAGAATACCGCGCGAGAATTTACTAAATCGTACAGGTGATGTAACACCAGAGGGTGTCTACGAAAGTGTTTTTACAGAACCGGGAAAAGTGCTGGGATCTGCATTGGAATCATTTTCGGCTGGTCGAATTGGTATCATGCAGGAATCGGTGAACACTTTGTCGACTGCTTCCATTATTGCTGTACGTTATGCTGCCTTACGGAAACAATTTGGACCGGAAAAGTCGGGACCCGAAGTAGCCATAATCGAATATCAACTTCACGTGAGTATATTTAGTTCCATAATAAGGTCGTATACAAACGATATCGTCTTATTTTTATAGCAATGGCGAATTTTCCCATACTTGGCGGCTTCCTGCGTTTTAAAAATTGCTGTTATGGAATTAACAGATATATATTTGGGAATTATTGAAAAATCCCAGGCAGATTCGAATGGCTTTGAATTGTTGGTAAGTTTTTGGAAACAGTTAACGTTCGTAATGTTTGTTTCTGTAAAATTATGTTTGATTTAGAAAAAACTTAAACTTTGGAACATATGTTCAAATATATTTGCACTGTGATTAAGCTTAATGTAGTATGTCAATTTGCTTCAAAAAATTTCAATATCACAAATTTATCAAAAAAAAACATATGGTCGGTTCCCGTACTGCAAGAATCTACTAATTTTTACTACGATAACAAGTTTTCCTTTATGATATCCACAAAATAGTAATAACTAGTAGATTCTTTCAGTACAAGAATAGACCAATAGAAATGTCGAATTAGCCATGCCTATTTCTTTACCTGCCACGTTTATTGTTGCTACACATCCTAGAAGGTTTGGTATTAAAATTGGTTCACGATGTGATATTTTTTATTATTTTATTCGTTCTGCACCTGTTCAAGGCATATTGGAAAATATGAATGATTGAAAAATAACAGCCGCAGTTACAGTAAAATATTAGAAACATACTACATAGTTGATAAGCTCAACATTGATTTTTTTTTGAGCAAATAAAACCAATTACTAACTTCATTCCCGTTACAGACTCAGGCCGTATCGGAAATTCATGCTGTTATATCATCATCGAAACCAATGATCACATGGACTGCTCGTGATGCTATACAAGAAGCAAGGGAGGCTTGCGGTGGCCATGGATATCTTAAGGCTTCCAAATTGGGCGATTTACGTAACGACCATGATCCCAGTCTTACGTACGAGGGTGACAACAATGTTCTTGGCCAGCAAGCATCGAATTGGTTACTTCGGCAGTGGAACCAAGGTATTGAAAGTCCAGTGGGTACGGCGAATTTCCTTAAAGACAGAGAAAATATTCTAAAACAAAATTGGCAATCAGTCCTGAAACAAACACCAATCGAATCATTTGAATGTATGTTTTGTCGTCCGTTTGCATATTAAAAACATCACTAATCGATTACTCTTTTGCAGTTGTATTAAAATGTTACGAATGGATGTTGTGTCATTTGTTGGATATCACATCGTCGAACATTGCCAAAGATATGAAGGGCGGTAGCCATCGATTTGATGCTCGCAACAATTCCCAAGTGTATGGAGCACGCGATATGTCCATAATATATGCTGAATATTTCTGTCTGTCACGCTTCATTGAGAGATTCCATCGATCGGATGTAACCGGAGAATACTCCAAAGTACTAAAGTTGGCGTTTGATATTTACGCCATGAGGTGCTTCGACAGACACATGACCACCTTCTATGTTGGCGGATTTGCCCATGGTTCCGAGTTTGCGGATCTAATAAGAACACGTCTTCTACAAAAATGTGCAGAGTTCAAGGATTCTGCTGTTGCCGTTGCAGATGCGCTAGCACCACCAGACTTCGCACTAAACTCCGTTATAGGAAAAGCTGATGGCTTATTGTATGAAAACTTGCAGAACGAATTTATGACAAATTCGGGTGCCTTTGAGAGGCCACCATGGTGGCGTGATATCATCATTCCCCAAACGAAATCGAAACTTTAATTGAAATGCCTTTTTAAAGACAACTAAGTGAACCCCAACGAGTTTCTTAAGTCAGAACCTAATTGCATTAGGTGTAAAGTAAAGTAAAACAAAGCATGAGCAATCTCCTCCAAAACCTATATTACATATTTACTTATATAGTAAAAAAACGTATTTAAACCTAAAATATACATAATTATGTTCTAAGTTGATATTCATATTGTATGTATCCCAATTCGTAAAAAAATCCGAAACCGTGTTGTATTTAAGAATTGTAATCTCTTGGATTGGTTCTTAAGGTGTCCGCTCGTGTGGATCTAAGTCAAATGTCTAAGTTTATTTGTCTTGATTGAAAATATATATTTGTTAAATTGTTATTATTGCCGTTTTTTGAGCATTTTATAAGAACCAACAAATAATATGTATTGAAGTATTTTTGTTAAATTAAGTGTGTACAATTTCATAAAAAATTTTATTTTTAAATGTGAAACATGCATTTTATTGAAATGTGTATTAATGATGGTAAGACAAAAGAAAACAAAGTGTTTTTGACCCAATTGAAGCTTTGTATGTATTTTAATAAACGTATTACTTTTCTATACATGGAATACGAGTATAAAAATCGCGTTAAAGTATGAATATGCATTTAATGATGCGCAATGATGTAACTACTGGTGCTTTTCACGATTAACGTATACAGTAAACAATAATTTTGTGTACTATACGGCATTGGTTATTTTTTGGTTTAAACCAAACATTAATTTATTTTTGTTTCGTGAATAATCATTTCGAACGAACTACATTTAAGTCGGCATCGATCTCCGAAATAGAATTACAAAATACACATTGTCAATAGATATCACATCTATTTGGTGTCTTCCCACATTTTGATATCATCCTTATATGCTTGTTACGTTTTTTTTTGCTTCTCAACATCAGGATTTTCTTAACTGAATTCATTCGTATATTACCTTTTACCTAAGGTGACCATACGTCCTCTTTTTTATGGGACAATCATCTATTTTGACTGGTTGTCATCTATAAAATGTATTTCCTTTATCTGTCGTCTATATCTATAACCTGTAATTTTTAGTCATCTATATTTTTAAAACCTTGATCAATATTTATTTTAGTGGAGTCGTACATAAAATGTCTTGGAATCCTTGTACTGTTTAGACTCTTACTCTTATAGTCAACTTTATGACTAATGGATTGTTTCATTGACACTATTAGTTGGTTTCTGAACCTTCAAGAATCTTCTATTAGTCGAAATTATTTTCAATTTTAAAATAGCGCCAAATTTTCACGAATGTTGGAAGTACAATGAATAATTAATCACCCCTATTCCGTACGTCGTTGTCGACACAAAACGACGTCGTAGAGAGTCGTCTTTTGCAAATTGGTGTTCTCGACGTCGTTGTCGACATTTATCGATAACTATTGACACCGTTTTAGGTATTCCGTACCAAAGATTGACGACGACGATGTCGAAGATTTCTTCGTCATAGTTTTAGTTAGCAATGGAGTCTAAAGTAATGTATATTTGAAGTCGCGTGAGTGGCCGCTCTTTTGTGGCTTTTGTCTCGAAAGATAAAAACCGGAGGCCCTCAATTTACCACCGATAGTACTCCTATAGTTCTACAAAAAAGTATTAAGGGAGAATTGTAAAAAATGTAATCGTTTTGATTTATTTAACATTTAAACTTTGATTTTGCCTCTGAAAGTCGTGTGACTGCGGAAGTCCTATAAGCATTTTTGTGTAAAATATGTAAAAAAAATTTTGAATTCAAGTAATTAAAATAATTCTACCTCCTTAAAGTATGCAACAGAATTTTAATTGAATTGTATACAACATTAGTTAAAAACCTTGTTTTCAATCAGGATGTTTTACCTTTATTTTAACGCCATCTTCACTTGTACTCTGGAGAATGCCACAAACATTTGGCTACGTCCACTTGAAGTCTTGCCCCAATCAGTGTTCGCAAATAAACGGTACACTATCGCAGTGTACCGTGCCATGAACACAAACGCTAAAACTTTGGATATACCTAGAATATTGAAATTTTATATGGAATACAGGTTGGGAAATGGCGTCGCTGTTGGAAATTAAAATGACTGTTGGAGTGCAGGATTGAGGTAGTTTAGGAAATTCGTAAATATTGGTACGAAAATTACTAAATAGTACTAAATTTAGTACAATTTGAATTTTGCTTCAACGGATAGAGCTAAAAACCTGAAATGTTTAGTTTACAAATTGCTTTGTGTGAACGGGTAGGGCTGAGATCCTGAAATTTTGAATTCAAATTACAGTTGGAGCGCAGGGGAATTCCCTTTATGTATAAGATCAATGTCTTTTTTTACAAGGTTTTTTTTACACGGCTTCTCCTGGAACCAATCTACCGTGAAAAAAACAGACTTAGGTGTACTGTTTGAGTACATGATTGAGACAGAGTTGGAAATTAGAACTCATAAGTACGAAAAGTACTAAATATGGTACAATTTGGATCTAGGGCTTAAATTAAAATTACTGTTGGATTGTACGTCTACGAAAAGTAACAAATGCTACAAAGTGTATACAATTTGGATGTTGTTGTACGGATAGAGCTGGAATCCTTAAATGATTTCTTAAGAATAATATTGAAGTTCATAACTAAGGTAGTTTTGAAAATTCGTACTTATGGGTACGAAAAATATTACATTTAGTACAATTTGGACGTCGGTGAACGGGTAGAACTGTAATCCTGAAAGTTGCAACTAAGATTACTGTCGGAGTGTAGAAAGTACTGAGTAGTACAAAATCTGGTACAATTTTGGGTTTGGTAAACAGATAGAGCTGGAATTCTTAAATTTGGACTTACGATTATTATTTGAAAGCAGGATTGAGGAAGTTTTGGAAATTTGAACTTATGAAAAAAAAACTAAATTTGGTACAATTTGGACTTTGATGGAATTAATATTCCTGTTAGAGTGTAGGATTGAAGTAGTTTTAGAAATTCTTACTTATGAGTATGAAAAGTACTAAATTATACTTAATTTGGTACAATTAAGATTTGGGTGAATGGATAGAGCTAGAATTCTGAGATTTGGAATGTAGATTATTTTTAAGTATAGGATTGAGCTATGGAAATTCGAGTTTATGTGTACGAATAGTATTAAATGCACTAATTTTGGAACAACTTTTATTAGGGTAACGGAGAAAGTTGGAAACTTAAAATTTGGAATAATGATTACTGTTGGAATGTAGAACTGAGATTTGGGGAAGTTTTTTAAATTCTTATTTATAAACGGTTACGGTACGGTAAATGGTACTAAATTTGGTACAATTTGATTTTGTGTTGAAGTGTAGGATTGCGGTAGTTTTGGAAATTCGTACTTTTGGGTACGAAAAGTAATACGTTTAGTGAAATTAGAAGTACAATTGATATATGTGTACTTAATTTCATTTTATTTATTTATTCACTTCATTGTAATATAAACAAGTGAAAAAGCGTTAAGTTCAGCCGGGCCGAACTTTAAATACCCTCCACCATAGACATACTGACAGGTACTTGAAATAAAAATATAGGAAACATACCAAAATGTGTACCTATACCAACATTCCTACAAGCCGATTATGGTTCCAAATATTTGCCCCAGACCCCATGTTTCTTTGGACCAAATTTATTTCAAAAAATTCTGATTTCAAATACAAAGTAAATAAAGATGAAATTAAACTAAGACTTTGCCCATCTTATTATTTCTTCCAAAATTACTTCAAGCTCGAACATGGGGAATATCGGTCCACTCCCTCTGGTACCTCATATATACAGTTCATATATATGAATATAAATAAGGTAAATTATCGAACCATATGTTCTAGTTTTTTCGTATCTTCCACAGATGAAATGAACAAATCATAAAACTATTTTAATACAAAAAAGGGGGTTATATGGGTTCGGTGGAAAAATACGACCAAAACCCTCAAAATACTGAAAATTAGGAAGTACTGTTATATGGGGGCTACCAGAAAAAGAGGACCTATACTTATAATTTTTTGTGGAGACATTTAGTACTCAATAACAATGTAGCAGATTTCAGGGAATTCGGCTTAAAAACGTGCTCAAGAACCCCAAAATACCGAAATTTGGCGGGTACCCTTATATGGGAGCTATGCCTAAACGTGGACCGATAAATCCCATAGAACTTGACCTGCCTGCAGACAAAAGACAACCCTATGCAAAATTTCAGCACTCTATCTCAATTCCTTCAGAAGATAGCGTGATTACAACAGACGGATGGACGGACATGGCTAGATCGTCTTAGAATTTTACCCTGATCAAGAATATATACTTTATAGGGTCGGAAATTAATATTTCGATGAGTTACAAACGGAATGACGAAATTAATATACTCTCCATACTATGCTGGAGGGTATAAAAAGCCAATATGGCCAAATACTTATATTAACTAAATACAGTACCCAAAAAATACTAACTAATTAACAATAACTTAAATCTATAAATAAATTTATATGTACATTTTAGTAATAATACAAACAGAAATTCAATGAAAATAACAAATATAATAGTCCCACAACAACGTCCAACTCCCAGTGATTTACTATTATTAAAAATAGCAAAACAATAAAAAAACATATCCTAATATTCACTCTTAACCCATGAAGACAGAAATTAGAACCTCACAACATTGAAAAACCTACAAGGCAGAAGAAAAAGATAATTAATTTAAAAAAAAACCTGACTAAATTTAACATTTCAGCAAGACAAACTTATTAATATAATTATTGGTCCCCAGCCATAGCATAGACAAAAATGATTTAAATACAATGAACCAACAAATAGCAATACGAATAATTAAATTATGTATATATATATACATATATGAGTATCACTATCTACTGAGATGCTCAATGCACCGCAACAGAAAAAGGAATTAAAATTACGCAGGTCCAGGAGCAATAAATTCCATAACCTTGAAGCTCTCACAACAAACGACTTCTCACCTATAGACGACGAAAACCTCGGATGAAGTAGCTGAGG